AGCTCGCCGTGTCTCGGCTGCCCAGCACCGTGGTGGCAGTGTCTCCCTGTAGAGCCCAGCAAAGGCTGCCAGCAGGACAGAGCGCTGGTGAGCTGGGGCCGTGGGCCCCTGGCATAGGGGGCTCCAGGACCCCCGACAGCACCCAGACCTGCCTGCTGTGCCATGCTCACCCTCCGTGGGCTCCCGCACCACGTCGAGCACTGTCACCGTCTGCCTCGTCTGCCAGGTAAGCTAGGGAGAGCCGGCAGTCAGGGACAGGCCCCCACCAGGGAAACTGAGGCAGGGGGATTGGGGACCGAGCCCACCCCCTTCCCCAGCCAGGCACTGTGGGAGCCTGTGACATTCTGGGTCGGGTCCTGTGCTGGCAGCACAGCTGTGCCTGGCACCAGCAGGGCCCTGCTCACCATGCACAGGCACTGGCGGTGGAACCCCCCCAGGCCCCCCTCCAGGTAGAGCAGGCGCCAGCCGTCAGGGCTCAGCTGGGGGGAGCAGGCAGCACTGTGCTCAGCCGACAGCAGCTCTGCAGACAGTGGGGGGGTCAGTACTGTGGGGACCCCTGGGACCCAGGGCACCCCCTGCATCCCCAGTGCTCACCACAGTGCCCACTGGCCAAGTCCAAGTGGAAAACACCCAACCTGGGGAAGAGGCACAGGTCAGGCTGGAGCCCCGTGGCCTTGCCAAGTCCCTGCCATGCCGGCACAGGGTGGGCATCCTGGCATGGTGCTGGGTGCTGGGGGTGACCAACCTCCTGTTGGAGCAGTCGCTCAGCCCCAAGCGGAAGGGTTCATGCCACCAGCCCACGAACACCACGCTGTGGTCATCTGGGGACCACAGGGCCTGCGCGACAGCCGGGCTCATCCTACAGACCCAGGCTGGCTGCCCCACGGCTCACCCTGCACACCATTCTGACCTGGCCGGGAGAGAGGTGCTCCGGGACGCCCTCCAGCACCAAGAGGCTGCTGCCCTCCAGGTCCAGGGCACAGAGGACAGGCACGCTGCGGGTGCTCAGTGCCTCCCCCCAGTCCTCACGGTACATGAACTGCTCGCCCTGCAGCACAGCCCTGTCAGCCCCACAGCCAGCAGCCCCAGACACCGGGCTCTGTGCATGGCATGCTCACAGGGTGTATGGCACGCTTGTGGGGTGCACAGTATGCTCACAGGGTGGACGGCGTGCTCATGGGGCACGTGACATCATGACCATGTGCACAGCACGCTCACAGGGTGCACAGCATGCTCATGGGGTGAATGGCACACGGCACCCACCTCCTCATCCTCATCCTCCATCAGCCTGGATGCTCCCGGCACATCCTAGGGACAGGGGGATCGTCGTTTGGGCCAGCTCTTCTTGGCCACATAGAGCAGCTGTGTTTCCGAGTGGGACCAGGCCAGACAGGCAAAGGGCCCTGGCACAGTAAAAGGGTGCCTGAGCCCAGCCTGGCACAGGCACAGCCAGGCATCAGGCAGGCACTGGGGCCACTGGCTGTGCTGCCCTTGCCTGTGTTGCAGGCAAGAGGCATGTGACAGGGGCCCTACCCTCTGTGTAGACCTCCCTGTGCTTCCCCAGGGCCATGAGGTCCACACTGTGGCTGCGCCCACTGTTGTCCCACACCTGGAGGGATGGCAGTCAGCATTGGCATGCCATGGCCATGGAGCCCACTGCCCAGCACTGGCACTTCAGCCACACTGGCGAGCCCCGAGGGTGCCTTGACTGGGGCAGCGTGCGTTGCCCCCCCCGCCGACCAGCGGCTGAGCACTGCACGGTGCTGTCTGGTGGGGGAGTCCTGGCTGAGCCTGCGGGTGGGCGGGAGGAAGGCTGTGGTGAGCAGCATGCTGCAGGCACTGGCTATGCCGCGGGCACCAGCTATGCCGCAGGCATCGGCCATGCCATGGGCACTAGCCATGCTGCCCCATCCCACAGTCTGTCCGTGCCATACTGGTGGTGGATCTCGGCGCTGAGCGCTGCCTGGCTCACAGCGAGGCCGTCGCTGCCTGTGCACCACAGGCTGTAGTGGCAGCTGAAGCGCAGGAGCTGGCGGCGGGGCAGGTCGGGGCGGCTGCACTCTGTGGGAAGGGGCCATTAACAGCCACCTGCACCAGTCCCACCAGCCAAAAGCACCATGGTACCGGAGCCCGCAACTCACCGGTGTACAGCAGGAAGGTCTGTCCCCCTGCGGTGGCCCCAAGGGCAGCTCGGGTGACAGCAGGGAACTGGCTCAGCTCCCGGTAGCAGGCGGTGGGGCTGCCGACCGCCTGTGCAGGGGAAGAAACTCACCCCTCTGCCCATACTCACCCCCTCCGAATCAGGTCTGTGCCCACTAACGCAACCCCCACAGTGCCCCCTTGCCCACCTCCCCGCCCTGCTCAGTCCCTGAGGCCATGGGGCCTTGCTGCGCCATGCTGGGCCACTGGCGCCGGCCACTCAGCCACAGGCAGGCTGCCAAGACCTGCGCGAGCAGACTGGTGTGAGGAGGGCC